ACACACACACACACACACACACACACACACACACACATGCACATGTACACACACACACACACACTCACACACACTCACTCAGATCACAGGCAAACAAAACATGTAGTACGCATTAGCATACAATAATAATACAACTACATGTATTAGATTAATTTGCTTCGGCGAATGAATGAGATGGTCAGTTCATCAAAACTCAAGGGGCTTTCGTGTCCTGGAGCTTAAGATGTTCGCCTCTTATTCAATTGGTCCAGAGTTCGATTCCGGATAGCGATGGAACGTTTTCTTCTCTAAAATGTTCTCCTTTCACATCCTTTCCTGCTCTCTAACATGTTCGGTTGTCTGCTTTTGTCTCCACTTTCTGTCCCCACCCCCTCACTTTATCCGTTGCCCCTTTCTGGGCTCCTGACTCTATCTGCAGCCTTTCTACTGAACTCCTTGGCTCCTTCTTACTGCTGTTTTTCAGCCACACCCCTGATAGGAAAGATCTACCCCTAGCTTTCTCGAACAAAGGTGGAAAATCTCGGAGGTCCTATGTGCACGTTCCGCACGCTAAAGATCCCTTGGTGGTAAAAAATCGATTAGAGTTGGCTTGGGCTGCCACCCGGGCAAAATTCAAAATTTCCTACCTGCTGAAAATGTTTTTATGTGTCCCGCACGCTCAGTTGCGAGCCCCATAGACCACTTACCAAAAAAAAATGTTTTGTGCAAAACTCAATCTTTACGAAAGCTTCTCTCTCTCTGTCTCTCTCTCTCTCTCTCTCTCTCTCTCTCTCTCTGTGTGTGTGTGTGTGTGTGTGTGTGTGTGTGTGTGTGTGTGTGTTTATCTAGTTATCTATCAATATATATCTCTCTCTTCCTTCTCTCTCTCTGACTCTCTGACTCTCTTTCCCTTTCATTATCTCTCTCTATCTCTTTCTCTTCCTCTCTTTTTTTCTCTCTCTCTTTCTTTATGGCCCCTTTATTGACAGGCCTGTGCGAAGTTGTGCCTATCTGTCAGCTCTAAATTGATCAACCCACGGGGCTCGGAACACAATGATTAATTCCCTCTGCACACTACAGAAAATGTGATCAAATCGCTGTTTGATTATATTATACATTTGAGGGCAGCTAGATTCTTGTTTCATGAAGAAGCGAAGGAATCAGTTCGCCACAATGTTATCAAATTCTTAAAAAATCAAATTAAACGTGTTTAATTAACTAAGTTACATCGGATACATTAATTATTATTGATAATCTTGGCCAACAACCAACCAGAAAGCTACTTAGTTAGTATCATGACATTTCGAGGTCATATCTTTTCTGCACACTAAATGCAAAACACCCTTATGGAATTTCGGTCAAATTTGATGAGTCAAAGCCTATGTCTATCTATTATAAATTTGGCAACTTGTAAACACATGTGTCACTTTTCCCATAAAACTACGACAGCTACAGAGTTGAAAGTTGGCAAGAACCTGCAAAAAGATAGATAAGTATCAATGACGGAGCCTGATTTTTTATTTATTCATTTCCGGAATTTAGAAAAATATATTTGACAGTAAGTTCCTGTCCTTTTTTGGCCTTTGTGATTATTCCACTGAGAAACGAGACAAATTTGGTTAGCTGCCCTTAACAGTGGAAGTGCCGGAAGTGATATTTCGCGAGGCACATTTTGGTTTGAGAGTATAGATCTAGACATTCTAATCTTTTGCATCTCTCAAGTTTTATTGCTTCATTCCAGTATAATGTAAATATAGTAGACCAATGACGTTCAGTTGATGTTAATGCACCGATCATTCCTTTCCTCCAAAGGGGTCCCTACTTTGATATAGTATACCAGACCAGACCATCAATGATTTATTTATAGAGGCACCAGCCATCCATGTTGATATAGTATACATTAGGCAGCGCCATTACCTGATCCGATCCGACCCGATTCGATCGGATCATGCACATCGGATCCATTTGATCAAAGAGGCATCCGATCCAACAGCCTCGGTGAATGGACACTTCATTGTGGGACATGTTACTGGGGGGCGGGGGCGGGGGCCGGGTTGATGTGGGGTGGGGGGCTTACAGTGTCCGAGTGGTCAGTGAACTCAGGCTCACAGGTTATGTCATCAAGCTGTGTCGGTGACACGGGAATGTCGTCAGTGTAATTAAAGTTCCGTGTTTTACGCCCCGATTGACACAATTAAGATCATGTATAGGGCGGACTACTTTGACTCTTTGTGTCTGAGCCAGCTCAGGCTGACTGGATAAAACAGCTCAGCGGAGACAGTTGATTAAAGGAATTCCAGAACATGAATCAAACTCACGTACCCAACGTACAACGGACAAAAACAGAACGTCTACTTTGCGGACACTCGTACGTGTGTGGTCTTTGGGGGTGTCCCCAAAAGAGACATGTTAGATCTACTTTAAATCATAAACAGGATGCCACGGTACATTAAGCAGATTTGCTGGGCTACCGTTTCAGTTGTTGTTTTTGTTTGTTTGTTTATTTATTTGTTTATTTTTTATTGAATTGTTTTGTTTTTATTTGGTGTTTGTTTTTGCTTTTGTTTTTGCTTTTTTTAGGGAGGGGGGTTGTGGGTTTGTCTGATACGTGCGTGTGTATGCGCGCGCGCGTATGTGTGTGTGTGTGTGTGTGTGTGTGTGTGTGTGTGTGTGTGTGTGTGTGTGTGTGTGTGTGTGTGTGTGTGTGTGTGTGTACGTGCTGCGCGCGCGCGTTTGTGTGTGTAAAAACAACAACCCAGTTTCATGTAAACCAACATCATAACAGACCAATATTTTGCGTTGTCACAACAATATAAGGATAGATCTGCAAGGCCTTCGAGTCCACCTAGTCTACTGACACTCGTAAAAGCGTGCTTTTAGTTTTAGTAAGAGTTTTACGGCACTTACAACACAATGAGGTCATATAAGTACCGAAGATTGGAGGTGTTATAAGAGAGTAACAAACACAAAGTAGAAAGAGGGGAGATAAGGAAGATAGATGCTTGATAGGAACGAAGTAGGAAACCACACCAGAGCACCCGCCAACCACCCACACGCCTATGTCTATTAACGCTATAGACGTGTAGGCTAGCTTAAACTTTTACTACAACACTGAGACTTAGATGAGCCTGGGTCATAATGATCGCTTTGTTTCGCCAAAATCTTGCAGAAGGCCCCTGCAGTGGCAGCCAAACGAGAGTATTGTTGTCGCCTATTGCACGTCTTCAAAAAAACACGCAGCCGAGGTCTAACTTAGAATAAACGAAGCAGTAAGAAAGCTAAAGCAAAAAAAGAACTCTGCTGCACATTTTTCTAATGCAGCCATTCGCTAACGTTTGTAATAAGGTTCGATTTTGAGAGAAATTCCACGAAATAAGAGCATTTATTATTTTAAAATACATTTGCTCATTCTTTCAATTACACCCCCCCCCCTCCCAATCCCCATCTTTAAAATACTTTACAAAGGATGGCGCATAATGTAGGGAAATCCACTGGAAAAGAAAACAAACAAACAAACAAACAAACAAAAAGCATATTTCTGGGCGCTAATAATTTCTAACAGCTTGTACAGCAACAATTTCATACTTTTAAAGGTGTAACGCCAAAATGAGACAGTCACTTGAAACCCTTTGCATGCTATCAAAAAGAAAAACCAATTTGAATTGTGTGCGTGTGCTTGTGTGTGTTTGCGCGCGCGTGTGCGTGTGCGTGTATGTGT